TTTTCATTTCTTTTCTTTTCTTCTCTTTTCTTCTCTTTTCTTTTCTTTTCTTTTCTTTTCTTTTGACACTGCGTGTCCTCTTTTCTTTTCTTTTCTTTTCTTTTCTTTTCTTTTCTTTTCTTTTCTTTTCATTTCTTTTCTTTTCTTCTCTTTTCTTCTCTTTTCTTTTCTTTTCTTTTCTTTTCTTTTCTTTTCTTTTCTTTTCTTTCCTTTCCTTTCCTTTCCTTTCCTTTCCTTTCCTTTCCTTTCCTTTCCTTTCCTTTCCTTTCCTTTCCTTTCCTTTTCTTTTTCTTTCCTTTTTTACCAAGTGAATTATTGCAAATATTATTTATTAACTATCTTGTGTGGGAGAAAAAAAAAAGCAGTAGCCTGGTAGGCAAAGGGAGCAAGGCAAAGGGAAAAGGGAGATCTTGAGGACAGTCTCTGGGGCAGTGATGGACAGGAACATCTGACTGCTTTTATGATCATTATTCTGTTTCCAGGAAAGCCAGACCCCAAGGGAGGGTGTAGGCTGCAAGCTCTGCTGAGGACTGGATGTTTGTATGTGCTTTTTGGCCCCTTTAGTGAGAGCCCGGCACAGCTTTTAGGGCAGATCTCAGTATGCAAAAACAGGCCAAATGATTTACCAAAAACAATTTGTAAATAATTCTGGGTTTGTTACAACAAAGACACTAAAATCCTGGTTTGTTCCCTATGCATAGTTGTGGTCAGAGAGCCCTGGATACAACATTTTCCTGGATAAAAACAGGTTCTTACATTTAGGTCATATCAGATGTTCAGGATTATCTGACTTTCTTCTTTTCACTGTGAGATTCAAAGTTTCTAAGAGACGTTCAGCTCCCAGAAGATTACACTGATCTGCTAATAATCCATGAAAGGTCATAGTTAGCATAACAGCAGCCTGTAATAGTAGAATAAGAGTTTTCATTGGCATTTTGCATGTACTTATTTGTGCTGTTAAGTTGGCATTTGGGCTTTCTAAAGGTTCTATACTTTGGTGAGCATTAAAACCTAGTCTCTCTGCTCTTAGTTCTATCTCCTGATGCTATAGTAAAGACAAATAAAAACCAAAATGCTGAAGGGGGGAAAGGTGCACTGTGAGCAGAACGCTTGGCTAAGTTGGATTTCATCTTTGGTGATGATAGCCTGGCTAGCTGAGCAGGCAAAGCTGAGCTGTGACAACCGAGACAAGAGGGTCTGTCACAAATGGGAGACTCTGAAGAGCTGGGATTTCCTTGAGCTCCAAGAGCCTGGAAAAACTCTTTGAAGCAGAGCTGACAGAGGCTAATTTCACTGAGACAGGCCCAAGGAGCTCCAGATTTAAGAGGAACGTCAGGTGGGTTCGTTTTGGCCTGATTCAGACCTGCCACTTCTGGATGTTCCTCTTTACCTTCTCACTGGATAACCATGTGCTCACTTAATACTACATTTTCCAATAGATAGTCGAAAGAAATTGCAGGCAGGACTGGAAGCACTTACTGTTCTGAAGTTCATTACATTCCCAGCATGAAATACTTTACATGAGACTTATTTTCAAAATACTTAGGCCATTATTTGAATAAAAGAGCCAAGTCTTTCTTGCATTCATGTTGAGAGACTGACATTCATTAAAATGAACAAGTGCCTCTTACCTACAAAGTAAGCCTTGGAGCAAGTCTCTGATCCAAGGATTTGAGTGAAGGAGGAGATGAGAAGGGGAATAATAATGAGGAACTAGATGGAAGTTAAAAAGCAGTTGCCTTTGGCGTGTTTTTATTAATTTTTGGTTACGATGGGGGAAAAGGTTGGTGTGTTTAGTGAAGTTCCAGTGCTTCACAAAGTTAGGATGAAAATAGAAGTTACAGCAAATAAGTGTTGAAGTAAAAATAGTTCAGGCAATGTTTACATGAAGAATAAAAACATCAGACAGCAAATATTTTTCAAATATGGTTGCTTCGTGTGGTTATTTCATTCACAATAACAACAATAACGAATATCCAAGATCATAAAGCAGAACTCTGCTGTTGTGTATGGCAATTGTCTTTTGCTGCTGTTCAGTAAAGTCATAAAGACAGAGGATAAGCCAGGCACTTTGCTTGTTGTTCCTTTCCTAACCTTGTTCTTTTGAATGTGAGGAAAGGTCATCCCTGCCCTCTGTGACTGTCCTTGCCCCAGGGTTGATTACGTTTAAACTTTCTTCCAGTATGTGCCAAATAAAATGACGTGTTTATATTTGCAATGCAGAGTGTATATATATATATAAAAAAAGACCTTGGTGAGCCTGAATATTCTTTCACCACTGTTATTTTCACAGGTTGAGGTCTTTGTTGATCTCCTTCAGGTCAGGAATTGCATTTATTTTTCTGTGCTCCTTGGAAACAGTCACACAAAACATATTTTTGTACTTACTGTTGCAGTAGCACAACTGCTTCTTCAGTCCCTTTTAGTTTATAAAGCTCTTAGAACCAAAGGATCTTTGTGGTTGGTTTCAGTACAAACGTACTACACAGCTTGTCATTTCTGCAGCACTTTCAATGTTCACATACAGAATTCTTTAGCGTCATAGGGCCCTTTTTTAGGCATGCCTTTTGCTAGAGCTTAGAAACTCTTGTAAATGAAAGTCATTTTGCTATTCTGGCCCCTTTTTCAAGTAGGAGGCATTACCTCGGGCTGTGCAGTTCCAGGTTCTGGTAACTGAGCTGTTCACGCCTTTGTGGTTGAGCTCCAGCAGCACCGGGGACTCTCCGTTCTGTTCAAAAGCAGCATTCACTGCTGGAGAAGAGCAGGAAGAAAAAAGGGAAAAAAAGCAGACACTCAATAACCCTGCACATCGTCCAGCAGAAATAGTCACTTTTATCATTACCACAGGATTTCATTAATGTGATGGATTTTACAGTATTCTGCTCATGTGGAGTTTGGATTTCTAATCTAAATAAATCACATCTGTAGTAAAGATGAGGTGGACAGGAGCTGCAGCTGGGCACTACTCTTTCATTACAAGAGAATAAGGAATTTATAAAGCAAACCCGTGCGAGGAAATCTAATTTAAATATGCATTGAAACCAGATATTTTAGCTAGGCATGATTCACATTTTGAAGATTCTACAAAGGTGAAAGTATGTTAGAGACTTCAACACGCACAGCAATCTTTTCAGCTGAAAAATAATGAGCAGCATAAGGAAATCATATATTACCTATCGCTCTGATCACAGAAATAGCCTAGTAATACTTCCTTGCCTCTGTTTTTTTTTTTTTCTGTGAATTTTGATGTGGGAAGCTCAGTGTCCCGCTGTGGAAATGTATGGGGTGAGGAGCCAGGGTGACTCTAGGTACATCTGACTTCCTTGGAGTATCTCTGTAACAGTCTAGGACATCATTGGCCAGTTTGATCCTTGGTGTTCTTTCCCAGTTATACATCAAAATTCATTATCATACTTAGCTTAACTATTCTGTGGTGAGATATTTTAGATCAATATGTTGAAATCACCATAAGTTACCTAGTCAAATGATTATCAATCAGATTCATTTCTAAATACCTTCAAATTCCTCAGGGCAGCATTTTGACATTTCCATACCTGAAATGTTTTGAATAGTCATAAGAAATAATTGATGAATAAATGACTAATAACGATAAAACCATTATTTCTTTTCCTATAGGATTCCAGGAACATTTGGCTTGGTTTGTATTATTGGTTTGATAAGCTGTTGAAAACCTTTCAGGCAAGAGAACCACTATCCTGCAAATTTAGGTCAACATGAATGATTCTCAAATGAATGCATTTATACTGCTTGTAAGATACATCTGAATAAGATACTAAAAGACGTGCAGTTTATTCCATTCAGTGAGGACAGATTAAAATAGATTAGTGATCAATTCTGAGACCATTAAACACTGCTGTGATTAGTAAAAACAAAACAACACAAACAAGTAAAACAGTAACATGTTGCCATCCACTGTTATAAAGGCATCGTTATAAAAGCTTTTACAATTCAACATGCTAAAGTTTATAATGAGAAAAGTTAGACCTCAAAATTATTCATTCCATTTGGTATATGACTAAAAAAATCAGGATGTTTATTTCACAGAAAGTTTACTGGAATATGCTTCCATCCCTTATGCTTTCTCTACAGTTTCCTGTTTCCCCTTGTGATATTTCTTCTATCAATTCCATCTTTCACTGTACTCCACTATAGTTACCTATAATGTATACAAGCTCATTCTTGTCATGAAGTATCAGCACATACTGAGTGTATATCTGGAACACATTTAAAAAGTTTTGGACCTGGAGACTGCAAGGGATATGACTACATTGGCAAGCAGAGCAGACCAATAGCAACCACATTGCAAGGTAAAACAGAGAATCAGAGTATTTAGGTTTGAAGGGGTCTCTGGAGGCCACCTGGCCCAATATCTTGCTCTAAGCAGGTCCAAATAGATCTGACTGCTCAGAAACTTCTTCAGATTTGTTTAGAATAGCTCTAAGGATGGAGGTTCTACAATCCCTGTTGGTTAAGTAAATTTACACTCTTGGTCATGTTGGCACGGCTAATTAGCAACTCAGGTGCTGTTACATATCTTACATCTACAGAACACAATACTTTTCAGAGAACAACTCTGAACTTTTCAAGACAATACTACACTAACATATCCCAAAATTCTGTTTCACAAAGTGTCCTCTGCACCTAAATACAGTAGGTTTGTGAGGATCTACAGATAGGATGCCAAAGCAATTATTACAAATATGTCACTACATACACTTGTTACACGGTGGCAATTTAAACCTCAGGGATCTATTTTTCCACTTTTTCTTCTTTTTTTTCCCCACAACCTTCTAAGAAGGCTCAGAAGTGGTGGTAGCTTGGCAACTTTCTACTTCTGATATGAGCTCCATTTTCTCCAGTGTAAATAGGTTCTCCGTCTGGTGTGCCTAGAGGATTGTCATCATATATAAATAATGATATAACCCCAGAAAATAATATAACCCCCTCCGACATTTTCCTACTTTTTTTTTTCTTTTTTTTTTCTTTTTTTCCTTAGCCCTTATGCCTAAATGATGATGAAAGCACTATTGATAATTCTTCCTAATTACCACATGTGGGTGACGACTTGTGTCATTTCAGGAGAAATGGCAAGAGTGGGATGAGCAGAAAAACACGTAACAGGATGATGTATATTAGCAAGCATGGGAAGGAACATTTGAAGAGCATATTTTCGCACATCCTATAGAACTATCAGTAACAAGGTCTGTTCCTTATTTGCACTAGCAGCTTTCTCAAAGACCAAGCAGTCTGCAAGACTCTCCAAGGGAGTCCACTGTGATATCTGTCGTATAAGAAAATGTATCTAATACCGAATTTACAAGAAGACAAGTAATGTATGAAATACGAGGGAAGGAAAAATATCATTAGGTAAAACCAGTGCAATCTCATTGTCCTTAGATTACACCATTAAAATAAAATAAATTTTGTAAAGGTACACAATGGTCCTAGTCCAACCCACTTTAATTCTGCTGGCTTCAGTGCAATAGCATGAGGGTAAGTCCAGGCAGAATCCTCAATCAGCAGGCAACTTTTCTTTATTGAAATTAAGGGAAGACATAAGTTTTGCTCTGTGTTAAAGAGCAAATCTTAGGTAGCTTCTGGACTCAGAGGAATGATAGTGGAGTTACATTGTTTGGAGGGGAGTATTTGCCAGATAAGATTCCTTCCTAACGTGTGAGGTATCAGCATATTTTTATGGTCCTTCAGTTCAAACTAAACTGTCACAGAAACTGAGCATGGTATGTGATAGTCTCTGAGTAAATGAATTAAGGATACAGTATGGCATTTCCTTTTATCAGACTTCATTCCTCTTGTCTTATGACTGAATACATTATCATTTCCTTCCTCGTTCCAGTTCAGTAAAAGCAAATTTTGTTTGTCCATAGCATTTTTTTTTTCATATAAAAGAAACAGTAAGAAAAAGTCAATGACAGATTCTGAATTCTGGAAAAAAAAAAAACACAAATATTCAACATAATTAGAATGACAAAAGTACTAGCTGATCTGGAAAGATGGTGCAGAGCACATTCAGTACTAATGTACGAGTGTTTTTTTTTTTTTTTGCCTTCACTGGTGTTTAGTGAGCAGCACAGTTATAGTTCAGGACCCGAAAAGAGTCTTAAGTTTTCTCAGAATTTAAGAAAGGCCCCAAATTCCTCCTCTCAGTAGCCAGTGGCCAATGAATCTGAGCAACAGAAAGGGATAAGTAGGTGAGAGCCTTACCTAGCTTGCACTAGGGAAGATTTTCTCTAATCACCATGTTGAATATTATCACACACAAGTTATTTGATTCAGTGCGATGTAATGTGGTTAAATTATATGGATCACATTACACAAGAAACTAGAATAAGACATATAAGAATACCTTGTACTCCTTTAGCCCTACACTCATCGAGGCGTTAATGCAATCAGTTTGATATGATACTTCTCTGAGTTTGTGTCCTTGGTATCCCTGATCATTCATTTTAAATTAAGGCTATTTTTTCCCTTTGGAGGAATGGAAGAACTAGCTCTGTCTCAGGAGTGTGGAAATGTGCTATGTATGTGAAGTGCAATTCTGTCAACACTGGCTCAGTATATCTTTTGTAAACCTCAAACATGCTTTGTGGAAACCACTTGAGAAAGGAAGCTCAAGCCTCATTTTTCCAAAAGCAGATGTTTTAGCATTTGTTATCTTTATTTTGTGTTTGTTTGGCTATTTCCCTTCAGTAATAGAAAAGTAATCTACTCGAGATTCCCCAAAAGGCAGTCAGAGGAAGCCGGATGAGGGTTTCCTAAGAGCATGATTGGATTTGGCTGAGCAGCTGCTGCTGCTCGTCATGACGACAGCACAGGACCATGCAGGTTCAGCAATAAGAGACGACAGACACCTTCATCTGTATAAAAATCATAGTCAACAAGCAGTATGAGTGTCCCTGCATTAGTATCACAGGTGGAAGCACTTCTTTTTCCACAAAATATGTTGTGAAGCAGACAGTGCTGTTCACTGTCTTGGAGCATAGCCTGTTGAGATGTAGTTGGATAAGAATGTCTTTTTGCCGTACTCCCAACATACCCAATTGTATCAATGTTGTTCAATGATGGCATTGTAAACTTCTGTGGTGTGCTCGTATAGGAGGAGTTGATTTGGTTTCCTGCATGCTAATGAGTTCAATAAATATATGATCGTGCTATATTATAAAGAAAGATGTGCATCATTAGTTTATTGCAGGAATGACATTCGAGTCTGCCGTTAGCCAGGTCATGATGGCTACCATCTTTTAATCAAAACATGGAATTTATAGTTTGTGAGTTAACTAATGGCTGTGGAGTCCGATTTGAGGTTGACACATTGATTGTAGTACAACTCTCATAGATAACATCCTGGTTGATAACACATAAAATGTTGCTCTTCAGAAGTACGGGGAGTGCCTTGTTTGGCATTAGTAGTAGTCACCTTCTGTTGTTTGTAAGAGAAGAATGGAAGATAGATCTATCTCGATTTGTACTGCGATAGTGACTGATTCTTGTTGTGACCCTCTCAGCAATTTCCTCCCACAAAGTAGTGAGGAGGAGCTTCATTTGCCAGAGTTTCAAGGAACAAGCTCTGCTACGGCTCAGATACCCACGCTGGGCTCAGACTGCTGAGAGATCCCTGGCTCTATTCAGGGTTCTTCTACCCGTCAGCTTGGTTGCCCCAAAACGTTACAGTTACACAGCAAAAACTGACTGTATTTTTTAAGACTGTTATGTTGATCTGTGGACATCAAGAACAAAAACCTCTGCATTTGCCTATAAGAACAGTTAAGAAACCACATATTTTGCAGAGGATACTGGACAAGACAAAGGAATTCTGGGATGAGCAAACAAGGCATCTTATAAATAGGAGGAAGGCAGGAACAAGATTACCTGTGCAAAGAGCAATATCCCCACCTCCCTGTGGGAGCTGGGATGAATGAGATAAGATATGCCTTCCTAAACATTGGTTAAAACAGAGGTGCACCTAGATATTCTAAAAAGAAAAGAAAAAAAGGCTTTACTTTAAAAGGCAAGGACCCCGTGGAACCATGGCATTGCCAAGCCAATAGCACCTGGGGCTCCCAGAGCTTGTTTGGTTCTTATTTCTGTGGGTGCTCAGTAATGGGCACGTGTGAACTTCTTACATTTATAACTATATCATGTTTCAGGAATTGAGAACTTGAAATGCCATTTTACCTAAGATATTCTCACCAGAAGACATCTGTTAACTCTTGCTAAATGCAGCATATTTGCATGTAAATGGAACTTACAGTCTAAGGTTGTCAGCATGTCTTAGGTAACCAGAAAAGCATGAAAATCCATTTCCTAGCTTGGAGATCCACATAATATTTAAATATAATAAGACCAGGCAATGTGCCATTTCCTTCACTTGAAAATCAGAAAAAGAACCAAAAGCTGAGATATAGACAATCATCTTTTGGATTCGGGACAGGAACAGGAGCCAACAGGTCAGCATATGCCTTTCAATGGTCCGTTTGTTTCTTCCAAAGCCTGGATGATATTTACTGATTTTGAATAATTTTTAACTTGTTTGCAAGCTGATAGATTGTGTGAACAGGATGAATCGTATATAACAGCATCAATACGGATATGGAATTGAACTAAGGGAAAAGATTTTACGCTTTGGTAAATGTCAAATGAGTTCAGAGAGAGCTTGGGGGTAAATGCCCAGAGAAGGATTTTACTTTGTCTGTGGTTTGCAAGCTCAGACACGCGGCCCCGAGGGGCGTTTGACAAACAGTTTGACTGTTCCGCATGGAGACTGGAAGAAATTGGTTCTGCTTTACTCTATCCCGAAATCTCTTGTTTCAAAAATTAAAATCTTTTCACTCTGTGCATGCGTTTCAAAGCAGGTTGTACCTTTGCTGACGTGCACGGCCTCTTGTTCTGTTGAAATTTGTGATTGCAGCAGAGTGACAGCAGTGTGAGCTACTGAGAGTGCTGCGCTCCGGAGGACAGGGAAGGGTCCTGACGTCGCTGGAAAAGGCGGTTTCATCCAGTGGGAAATTCTGACCTCTGATCCTAAACAATAAAATTTAAAATTTCCCTCATGAGAGATTTTTTCCAGAGAATTTCAATTTGGAAACAATAAAATGATCACAGAAAAATGCTTCCTTCCTTTTGTCCAAATACTTAATTTTGCTAATGCCTGCTGTTATGATACTGACTTTGAACTACCATGCATGGCAAGGAACATGAGAATTCAGCTGGAACAGGAGAGAGGAATCAATACAAAGCACTGGTTTGGGGTTTCAGGAAGTCTGATCAGGAACATGCTAGAAATGAACGTTTTGTTTTTTGACCAAACAACATTTTGCAATAGACAGTTGTGCTGCAAAAACAAACATTTAAACAGTTCTGTTTGTTATTTCTTAATTTCAGTCTCATATTGCACAAATTGGCACTATGAAAAGCCCTGCTATTTCAGTAAGCAGGGGCCATTCCTATCGCTGCTTTCTTTACTTATTATTACAGCTTCTTTTAACAGAAAAAGAATCTCAAAAGTAATAATCAAAGTCAATCTGTCTTTAAAATAAAACATTTAGGAAGTAAATATGGAGTCTAAGTATTATACACAAAAAGAAACATCCTAGGATAGAGCATATGAAAGAGTCCATCTACCATCGACATTAATATCTGAATCTTGGTGCTTTTCTGCTCCCACAACTCATTCTTCTCATAAAAGTTCTTTTACATTCAGGCTGGTTCATCACAAAGAGATCAGCTGCTCATTGTCACTCTCCATCTGTTTAAGGTGATTTAAATTAATTTTTTAAAAGAGCATAAGGGACAAGTAACTGTCATATTTTCCTTTTGAGAGGAACAGAGTGTTTTTTTCTGTCTGTTAAACTGTGGCTCTTTGGACTTCCTCAACCCAGTGCTTTTAAGGAACTCTGTTCCTTGAGAGCTTACCAGATAAATCAGTTATTTCCTGAAGAAAAACTGCTGTTTTTTATTGTATTGTGACTACAGAAGAATGAAATAAAAACATCCATGAGCATAAAGGCAAATAAAAGCAGGAGGGATTGGGCACGAAGCTAATGGACCTGATGATGAGAGTTTCATTAATGCTCACAAGAAGTGTGTGGCTGTACCACCACACGTTGTGCTGAATATGTCTGTTCTGGAAGCGAATAGACCCAATTTCAAAATTGATGAGTACAATGCAATTCTCTGATTGACATAACAAAAATTATTCCTGTGGTCAAATTATTTTTGTCATTGAAAGATTAAAGAGCTTGATAGGCATTGAAAGAAAAAAAAACATTTTGGAGAGCCAAAGTCATTTAAAGAGGGGGGAAGATAATTTATATTTTGTTTGCAAGTACTGAAGTTTGGGAAATTCTAACAATTTGTAAAATGTAAATAATAATAAATACATAAATACAAACAATCGACAATTTTCAGCCACATTTTTTTCATGAGAAAAATGTGCAAGATGATATCCCGTGGTACAACACAGGTTGCACAGATTTTTTGTTCATTTGATTCTGCCATGCAGGAGACCAAACTTTTAGACATTGCAGCAGGGTCTTGCAGTGCCAGCTCGTGGGAGCGAAACGCACTCGTGCTGCCCATAAATCCTGGGTTAGAATAGGGCTGCTCGGGATGGCCCTGCTGCTGCCCAGATCCCTGTCTGTGCCCTGAGGATTTGGTGAAATTCCGGGTGGGAAACACTGGGCATGAGAAAGGGAATTATGGTATCATGTAAGAAAGACCCTATGTGGTGCTGAACGGTAAAAACACGTTTGGCAGGAATTCAGGGGGCAGCACTATGCACTTTACAAGACTGGCTGGCATGGATTCCCAATGAGGATGCGTGGGGGGGTCTGAGCTTTTACCTTTTAAGTAGACATAGTTAAAGGAAGAAAGTGAATAACAAGCAGCCATTCACTGACACCCATTAACAAAACTATCAATGCCCTATTTTAAACTATTAAATCAATTATAAATCTTTAATTTATTAGCCCATAGCCAATATAGAAATAAAATCATTCAGTAATATTTCCATAATATTAGTAGATCGTAAAGGAAAGTTGGAAGTAGCTGTTGAAAGTAAACACAGGCTGGACAATGCCCAGTTGAGAAAATGGGTGACCAGCTGCTCATTCCCTTTTAACTGAACGTTTTACTAAATGGCATGATATTCCACTGATAGGGCCTTGCAGCGTGTTTGTGTCTTCCTCTGTGCTTATCCAGAGGAGCAAACTGAGGGATGGAACTCACGCTGTCATGCAGAATGAAGAAGTTTGTTTAATTTGTGCTGAATTGCGGTGGTTTCCTGTGATCCCCGGGGTGGGTTCACAGCAGGGCTCTTCCCTAGGGACACGGGAGCAGCAGGGTTGTTGCAGTAACCGCGGTTAACGCAGACTG